GCGACACTGAGGGTTGCGATCCGTTGCCGGACACGGAAAAAGACAAAAAAAAAAAAAATAGGGGGATATAAACCCCTTTAACAGTGGCAAAATTACTTTCTGCCTATTTAGATTACAATACTAACTAAAATTGTGTGCTCCTTGAGGATCCACAAAACTAGTTTCATTGTCTTGCACATAGTAAAATGATCATTTTTGACTGATTGGTATTATATTATAAATTATAGTACTCAATTTATAAATCATAAATATTACTTTAAATACAAGTTTCAGAATCTATCTTTGAGCTCTCTCGATGTTCCTATGATTCTTGAGTACTTAAAATACTTTTAATCTTTTCTTGAATAGGGTAAACACCTGTAGGACAAAACACCATTCAAAAGAAAATATCCACAAAATCTCTTTCATAGACCATGAACACGCTCAAGAAATGATTTGTAGTGATCACATCAGTTCTCCTCACTGGGTATCAAGAAAGAACAGGAAAAAAAATTTCCCCTTTTTCCCCTGTCTTTTACAGGTTTATAGTCTGCCAAGTATGAAGGAGATCATTAACTTCATTTCAGGCTTAAATCAGCAAGGAGAAGAGGAAGACTGTACCAAACTTGATAGTGTCTCTATTGAAAAACTCATGTACTCGATATCACACAGGGATGAAGAAGATGATGTTTTCAGTTTCGTGAAGGCAAAGCCTATATTATCCATTGATTCTGCCTTGTGAATTATTTTGGACTAATAGAACACTGTATTGGTAAAAAATATTTGAAAATGCCCAGTGTTTCTGCTGAGGAAACTGAGGCAGAGCAAGGAAGTGACTTGTTCAAGAAACACAGCTAATCATAGCAAAGTCAAGGCCAGGACATGCTTCTGATTGTAAACGCTGTGTTTCTTTCGACATACTGTCTGGTTTTATAACACTAAATTTTACAACATTGCAACACTCAACTTTGCTAGGCTAAGGAGTATGAGGATTGAAATTTGAAGTCTTCAAAGAATAAAATTCTGTTATTCTGTAATGCTTCTTTTTTTTTTTTTCCTTTTTGTCTTTTTTCGTGTCCGGCAACGGATCGCAACCCTCAGTGTCACGCCCGTACCGGACCGGGACCGGCAACGGGATCACAACCCTCGGTGTTGCGCCCGCACCTCGCTCAGCCAGTGAGCGGGAACCGGTCTGTATGTGGGATCCGAACCCTCGGTGGGAGGGCTCAAGCGGTGCACTATAGCAGTGTGCCACCGGGCCGGCCCTGTAATGCTTCTTGGTTATGTAAAATTATAACGTTTACCAGAATTAGTTTGAATTACATATTTTATCAATGCTTAATGAAAGCTAAAAACATCTGGAAATATGAATGCACACAAATAATGAAACTCTAAAAGGGGTGTTATGGGCGGAAAAAGAATATTGGGAACAGGGGTGTCTGAGCTGAATATAGAACAATGTCTCGGGTATATACAGTGACACAGAAGTGAGATAATTCGATGTCCCTACTGAAATTTCTTGGAAAATATTAGTTGAACATTTTTATAAAACCACATATTACCTTCAGACATGAAACTATGTACAGTACATAGCTTTGCTCTTGAGGAGCAACTAAAAATGACAATGTTAGAGGTAATAAGCCCATCAAAGGGGCAGAAAAAGCTGAGCTAGTTAGTGATAGAAATAATAACAGTTCAATATAACTCAACCAAGAAAAATAAAGTGTCAGAATTTAGCACTTTTTGCCTGTGAGTAGTGAAGAATGAAAAAAGTATTTATGAAGGGAAAATGAATAACTCATCTTTGAACAGTAAATAGAAAATTATTTGATGCTATTTTACGGGCAGTATGACACTGAACTGGACTAAGTTATATGTTACATTCAACTGATGAAGAAAGAAGCCCCCCAAAATAAATCTCAATGGGAAAAGTGCACAGGAAGTTATCATTAGTGGAGTTAGCCATTTTTTACACAGGTGTTGGTATAAAGACAAATATAATTCAGTCTGGATTGCATTAATTTTTCCGACCTGATTTGAAAAGAAATTAAGACATTTTCATGGGTTACTGAAAGTATCTGGGGCCCTAGGCACTGTAGCTACTCCACCTAATGGGGAAATTGGCCCAGCATCCCTGCAGATGTTTAATTAGCCTACTGAGTGGAGAACTGAGACACTAGAAAACACTGAGGAATAAAAGTCAAATAGAAAGTCAGAGGCCAAGGTAAGAGGTCGGTGGCCATGCACCTGGAGAAACGAAGCAGTGTAAATACAGAAATCTCCAAATGAGAGAGGGATGGGGAAAGAATGTCTGTGAGGAGCCCCCTCGTTGTATCTGCTCATCACGAGTTATTTCCGAAAAGAAGTCAATTCAACAGGGAATACTTAGAAACGTTAACTCTGAATCTTTGTAGGTAGATGTTCTAAGAAAATACAGACGAGGGACCCTCCATTACTAGTTCTGAGATTTTCACTTCCTGCCAGGACAGCTGCAAGTCGTGGGACGGTGCTTGTGTGTAAGTTTCCTTTGCCCACCAAAGACAGATACTTGATAGAGACTTTTCCATTTTGTCTCTTTTCGGTTTGGGGGCTTGTACTTTTCCCTTTTTTGCTTTTTACAAATTGAATAGATAAGTTAAAACATCGAATTTGATTCTATGGATCTACAGAACGAAAAACATTGCAAGAATCTCTGTACTAACAATAATGTCGACATTGTTCAGCTCTGATCATTAGGTGCCCACACGAGTCTCACTGCAGCTACGTTACCTTGCCCAAAAGACAGTATTTGGGTTCCTGCTTCCCTCTAAGGTGAACATTCTACTCCCTTTTGGGAAGCCCTCCCCAGCTACCCAAACCCAAAAACCACATACCGTTTTTCCTTCTAGTGAACTACACTAGGTCATGCGTTCTCCAGGATTTTACAGTTTCTCCTTTTGACAAAGACTGTACTCATGCAGGAAATGAGTAACTCAACACATTGTTTCCAGTGCAATTGTCTTATTCTAATTTTAGCAGGGAAACTGAAGGTTTAGCCGTGGTATTCATCCATATCACACTGTATGGAAATATCAGTCTCAAAGCAGTGTATTATTTTCCTCCATTGTAATATTCATAGGGAGACTTTCTGTTACGGACTACGAGGACGTGACTGAAACATTAATACCTAAAGAGCCACTCGCTAAGACTCTGCAAAACTATTTCCCTGAAACCAGGATCCGGGACTTGATTGTGGTTAAGTGAGTAACTTCCATTTCTAGGACTTGCTTTGGGTGTAAAAATATGACTCCGCTATTTTCAATTATTTTTCTAATTAATTTCTGTCCTTTCAAGACAGGACAAGGCTAATTTATAAAACCCCAGTCTAATTATATCATCTCACCAGTTACAGACATATTTGCATTCCTGCCAGTTCCAGAAAATGCACATGGTGACTAATTATAATCTAGTTTCTATTATTCAACACCATTCGGGAACATGTGTTGAGTAGTAATCCTGAAGCAGTGCTACATGGAGTAAACCATTTGTAGAATTATAACATAAAATTGTCAGATTGTGTTTTAGAGAGGGAAATTTAACAATAATTTCAAATCCACAGTCAGATTTCTAATGATGGACTTTGAGGTGGTTGGGGGAGGTTGGGGGAGGTTGGGGTGTGACCATAGCTGGGGAAGTAAAATCATTGAAATGCCTTTTATTTTTCTTTCTTGGGCTCTGAGTACACTGTTCATTTTCCATAACTGTTTTGAGAGGACTCAGAAGTGTGGCATTAGATCACAGTTACTAGTTGCCATCTCAGAAACAACCAGTTCACTGCTCACTTTCTGTTCTTCACACTGTCACTGTCCCCAGCTCATCAGGTGTGGCTGAAGTAGGAGTGACAGTCCCAGATACCATCACGGAGTGGAAGGCGGGGGCCCTCTGCCTGTCCAGTGACACTGGACTCGGTCTCTCTCCCGTTGCCTCTCTCCGAGCCTTCCAGCCCTTCTTTGTGGAGCTCACAATGCCTTACTCTGTGATCTGTGGAGAGGCCTTCACGCTCAAAGCCACTGTGTTAAACTATCTTCCCGGGCCGGCCCGGTGGCGCACTGCTACAGTGCGCCGCTTGGGAGCGTGGCGGCGCTCC